CTAAATTCAAGGTGGCCTGAGACCACGGTTTGCTGCCCTAAAACACTCTGCTCAGGCCATCTTGAAAATAAAGGTGTAGTTGGCACCTTGCTAGGTATAGAGACCCAGGGTAGCTATAGTGCAGCTACCAGGTATAGTACTTCAAGTTCCCTTTCCGTCAACCGCTCGATAGCCTCTACACACGCACAGCAATCCACAGCTTTGAAGTCTCATTCGTGCTTTGAACTTGTGTAGGTGTGTAAGAGGTATAGCAACATAGTATTTATACGGACCCAGGCTAGCTTCAGAAGAGCACTCCGATACTTCACTTACAGCACTCCTTGAAGAGCATGAGTCGCTTGCGCATAGCCACCAGAAACAAAGGATCTTAGTCTTACTGGAAGTGGAATGAAACACCAGGACCTTCAGAATGACCTCTTTGGAGTCTCCAAGTGACCTCATTCGGGACTAGGTGACTAAGTGACCTCATTCTGGGATCTCGGACGGTCACTTTGAAGGTCCTGGTAGACACCAAATGATGTCAATGTGGATAGATTTGGCTACGGCCTAAAACATCGGATTCCATCCAAACCCCCCCTGTGCAGAGGAAAAATCCGGGCAAAATGACACCGAACCCCTCAATTGCCAGGAAGCGCAGGTTTTTGTTTTGACATGGTTACCTCTGTGTGGGCAGAACAAGACATGAAGCAGATTTGACACGCGGCCGCAAGCAGCTGCGCGAGCTCATTTGCTTGCTTCGACGCGCAGTTGTCGAGAAAGGGAAGCGCTGGCTTTCGTTTTGCAGCTTCTCAGGTGTGGAGGAATGACTAAGAAGGTGTTTGGGTCCAAAATGTCCAAATACCTTCTGAGGAGGTACTTGGAGCCCTAGGGTAAGTTATCCTAAGTGTAAGAACTTTCGGACTGGATGGTGTCAGCACCCTCATGATAGTACACCTGGCTGAATGCCAAGGGGCCTACGGTCGTTCAGCCTTTTTGGGAAGATGTGTGATTTTTTGGGTCCTGGACAGCGAATCCAAGTAGCCAGTACTCAGTACCCAGTACTATATCTAGGGCTTCAAAGTAAACAAACATGGCAGATCAGTTCGGAACCATCATCAGGGAGACTCTCGCTCTCTTCCATGCCCTCCGGGGGTTCCTCTCGCAGCAAGGAAGGATGTCGCTGGGCAACATGGACCTGAGACCACTCTCTCCCAGGCGAGTGGCTGTCGGAGTAGGGTGTCAGAACGAAGTGGGAGCCACAAACAGTGGTGAGTGGTGGTTTCAGACCCAGACACTCCATGTATGCCATATGGGACTGCCTACATTGATCCAAAAAAAACACCCGAATGTAGGCATATATGGCCCGGAGTGTTTGGGAGAAATGGTTCAAGTGAGTTGAAACCACCAACCAAATGGATTCCAATGGATGTACTGTGCTGTTTTGTGTAGAGTGTAGAAGAAACTGTTGGCAATAGACCAGACACTTTTACTGACGGCCGCTCATCCTCCCGGGAGCGGAGGAGCGGAGTGGTTGGTTTGAGAAGTCCAGGGAGTGGTGCCGCTCACCAGTTGCTGGATGGACAGATGGACAGATGATTCGATCAAGTCTTATCCAGGAAAAGTTGATAACTTTTACTGTAATCTTTTTGGGGGATTGCTTTCCCCACAAAAGCAGAACAGGTGGAAGAAGGTTGACCCGGGAAACTGCAGGAAGGTGCGGTTGCTTTGTGTTGAGACCTTGCTCCATCTTCATGAGTGTGTGGCTCAAGTATTTGAGAATCTTCGGCCGGCAGTCGTGGAATTCTGTTTCATCCGTTCTCAGCGGGTGAAAGCCATCGAACGTCGGATCAGGTCGCCTGGTGTGTCAGATCAGGAATCGGTCTTCGAATGCTCGCTGCCGCCCGACACGCGAAGGATGGAACTGGTGAAGTTTTGACCAAAGAATGCTCGATCTTCTCTTTTCCTGGCCACTCCGGTCGCCCTTCCGGGCGTCTCGCAATGGGCCCCCGGTGCCGGTGACGCCGCGACGAACGAAGAACCGCAACGGACCACAGGTGGCCATCGCGTGGTGCATCGCCAAGGGCACCACGCCGATTCCGGGCGTGCGGAACGTGCGGCAAGCCGAGGAGAGACCAGACCGGTGTGGCGCGGCACCGAAGGTTGGAATGCGGCAGCATTGGTCTTGTTTCGTGGGAAGTGCTCCAATGAGCTGGCTGCAGCAAGGGGTGGAAGACTACTTTGTTTGTCTTGGAAGTATTCTTGAAGTGGCAAACATTGTGGTAGAGATTGACTGGATTGACTTTCAAAGCATATGAAGGCTGTATGTCCGTCTTAGAATCAGGGAGAACGACGGTTTTGTAGAGGTACAATATGGCCCTTACCCTCCAAGACCATTACACCAACGAATGACCAGCTTCGTCAAAGAGACCACTTTTGGAGTCCCTAAGTGACCTCAAACCAGGGGTTTTGTAGCCTAAAACACCTAGTAAAACATTGGTTGTCCAGAAAGACCAATTAAATCAATGGTGGTTCGAATCCTAGGGTGGCAAACTCAGTTTTGCAAGTTTCCTAGTTTTTTCCCACATCCATTTTTTGGTCGGATAGATGATCTTTGGAAGTAAAGTCAAGCATTGACCACTCGTGGCTTAGTCCCTGACTGATTGATTTGCAAGTTCTTTTCGGAAGGCTGAAGAGATCAAGAGCAACTGGCGGGTTTTGTTGCGGTCTTCCGATCCTGTCCATTTGATGTTGTTCCTTCTTTGATGTTCCTTGTACAGAGAATGGACTCTTGCTGGCCTCTATCAGAAAGGAAAGCCCGACCTTTGACCTGCAACCCACAGAGCTGCATTTTTTAGAAAAGCGCTGCAGAAGACCAAACAGCTGCACGGATGTCCTCCCGATGTTCAGGACAAACCCATCACCAAACACCACAACCAGCCAGCAGAAGGCACGCCACAAAAACCGAGGGAAGAAAGAAGCCGACTGTTCGACTATCCCCAAAAAAATGCACCGCACCGCTCCTACAGAGCGTTCCGGTCCGGTTCCTCGTTCCGTCACGTTCCACCTCTAAACGCCACCGACGCAGGACAATCTTCGTGCTCTCCAGCTGAAGCTGAGCTCCAGTGAGGTGGAGGCTCTGGACGGCGCCGCAGCGGCCCGGTGGCGTCGACCGAAGCCACGACTTCGGCGGACGAAAGCACGCAACGCAACGCCCGGTGATGCCGGTCTTTTTGGACCCGAACTGGGTGGCGCTAGTATCGTTCCGTTGGTGGCATGGGTGCCCTATTCGACAACACCCAAGGTGCCAAGCAAGAAGAAGAAGACGACAAACGTGTCTTTCTGAAACTGAAGGGGGCAAATGCAGGTTCAATAATGAGGGCAGTGAAAACCTCAGTGGTCGCCCATCAAAGGGGGATTGGTCTTTGCTGAGTTTTAGTTTCTACGTCAGACCATCCAAAGACTTGTTTGCTAAACAGTTGCTCAATCAAGGCCTTTTTGGACATTTGCTCCAAGAAAACCTATCAATTCGGAAGCAAACCGGTCGCCGGTCGGGACATGCCTAGCCTAGTGGGATCATGCTTGCAAACCCGCGGTTCAGCTCTGTGAGCCAGTTGCAACAATGAAAGCCCAGTACCATGTCCCAGACACGACTCATGGGGCTGCCCTATTGGCCTATATTGATCCTTTTTCAACCACATCAGTGTAGGTATATGCCAGTCCCATGAAGCTCTCGACGAAGGCGAGCACCATGTTTGTCCTTTTCATGCAGCAACTGTCTTCATATTTGTTTCTGGAAGTTGAATGCGTTCGTGCATTGGAATAGGGAGAGCCCCCAAACGATTGCAACATGTTTAGTATCTTAATTCCATTTGGGTCTCTTCCCCCCTTTGAAGGGTCTCCCAATCTTCTCAGACACGCCAAATCAGACTCCTCACCGCCGGCCTAGGCGAAGGTCTCTGGCTTCCTCACGCCCCAAGACGGGCCCTTCGGGTTCCTTGGGCCGCCTTTGGGATCCACCGGCGTTGGGAGGTCGCTTTCTGCGTGAAAAGACCGGGCACCATCGGTTAACCGGGCACCGGCTGCCCTGCATGGTGCATTGCCAACATGGTTTGGAAGTGGCAGTACACCTTCAGAGCTTTTTGCAGTACACCACATCCGAGATGAAATACCGGCAGTTGAAACGCCTGCTAGTTACGGCTGCCAAGGGATGTGAGCTCGGTTTTTGACAGTAGTAGAACCGATGTTTGATCGTGTTTGATCCAGGAATTCGTTAAACGTGTTTGGTTTCTCCATTTGTCAACCCCAGACACTCCATGTATGCCATATATGCCTACATTGACCCCTCAAACCACCCCAATGTAGGCATATATGGCATACAAGTGCTTCTGCGATGAAGGTTAGCAAGTATTTGTTGTCCTACGATAAGCCTAACCACGGAATCTCTCGCACAACCTCAACCCCGTCACTCCCGGTGCCGAGGAAGTTCCTCAGCGAGTCCAAGGATACCAAGCAGCGCATGTTTGATGCCTAGGCGTGCATTGACGGGCCATTTTGGAGGTATTGTGATAGAGGGTTGAATAATGAATGTGTTTTCATGTGCCTGGTTCTTCAAAGTGACCTTTTGATAACCTGGTTTGAGGTCACTTAAGCCTCCTCAGGGTCACTTAGGAACCTTTGAAAGGTCACTTTGAAGAAGCTAGTGCATAAGAAATAGTATTCATTTTAGGTACTTGTTTGTGAGTTGTTAGATCAAGGGCCTCGCCAACGGCGACTGAGCAACATGAAGTTCTGTGCCATTCTGTGAATCGTTGGATCGAATCCATAATTTAGGTTTTGTTTAGAATTTTGTTGCTTTCCACAGGTGCGGTGCGCAAGTTGCTTTAAGTAAGTTCACTAAGTCGACAGTGATGCCTTGACCCTGCAGGCCTCGTCTCCAAGACACAAGGCCTTCCGTCTCTGGCCAGCTGTACTGGCCCTCGTCTCGCAAAGACACGTTGAGACCTCGATTGGCAGAAAAAAGTGGAGTGATCGGGGAGATGTGCTGTGAATCATTTGGTGATGGTTGGTAACGTCAGAAGACTGGTTGGTTGGCAAGATGATCTATGTTCGCCAAGTACTGCAAGTGGATACACTGAAGAGGCAGTTAAACAGAGATTGGTTTCAGATGTTGCATTCAACCTCACTCAAACTGAAAAAAACCTCAGCTGAGACTTGAATGATGGAAAAGTGTTGTCACCTGGTTTTTCCAGAGGGTCGCGTCTCTCGCAAAACCGGGCTTCACCTGAACCTCAACCTCACCCGCCGACGGATTCTCGAAGCGTCACGAACTGGTCACGAATCCGTGACTGGTCGAGCGAATTCTTTTCGTATGGACCCTGAAAGGCGAAGCCGGTCGGTATGGATCAAAAGAACACCCCTTGTGCTGAGGTCTACCCCAAACAGTGTGTGTGAGGGTGTGTGAGGTGTAGACACCGGTGCGAAAAGCCACTACCGTAAGAACCCCTAGGAGTGTCCACACGGTTTGGGGAAAAAAACATGCTAACCAAACAGGGTCCAAGACCAATAGCAGACTTCCCAAGTTGCATGCTCTCTTCTGGCGGTTCCGCGGAACTCACACACACACACACGATGTCTTCACGTCCCATTCGGTCTTCACGTCCGCCCCACGTCCTTTCTCACGCCGTTCCTCCCGGGTCGTCCGAGGCTGCATCTCGCGGCCTTCCATGGACAGGTGGAGCCGCGCCGTCCGCGCGGAGCGGGTTCACCACGGACCGGACCTCGCCCGGAACGGGGGTCGTTTGATTGAGGGTGTCGTTTCTCCAATGGTTGCCCTGTTGGATGATCCAAATGGCCTACCTTTGACCACAGGTTTGAAGAGTAACATGGAACCCATCATGGCATGGACCAAACTGGTTTGACGTGTTCTTTCGTTTTTCGGAATCCCGACCTGGGCGTGGTGAACTCAGGTTCCATGTGGGTCTCTTGCAGGGTGTACTTGCTGACATGGAGCGTTAGTATACGTATGTTTTGCATCGAGCCATACGTGTTGGTTTGCTTTGCGAATCCTAAGGCTCGGTCTGGTTGGAACTCGGATGGGTTTTGATGCTGAACTGGATGGTGTCAGTGATTTTTATGTTCAACCATGTAACTTGGGATGATTGACACCATATGACACCACATGAGCAACCGTCCACACATGCGGGTAGGTTTGTGCACGTTTAGCCCTGCAAAACGAGCTACGGCCCACCTCAAAACCGATCAAGACACCCCCCGTGCTTTTGAATGATCATGTTCGAACATGTCATGTTTGTTTGAAACCCCCGATTCCGGAGGGGGGTTGTGTGTGTCATGAAGGTGAATCCACCTGGAGGATCTATAATTACAGTGGGTTCAGAGTAGATGGCACAATCCCCAAGTTCGGTGGTCTATATCATCTAAAGGACATGTAGGGGTGCCACTGCCATCTACTCTGAAACCACTGTATGTATTTTCGAAGTGCCAGGACCTTCAAAGTGATCCACCCTTGAGATGAGATCCTAGACTGAGGTCACGAAACGTCCTGGACTCACGTTGCTTAGACTAGAGACTCCCAAGAGGTCACGGACGGCTCAGGTCCTGGTGGATGACATGGAAGTCTTGAGGAAGACGATTTTCTTTATTGGTCCAGGGTCACACAGCCTCTGCAGGCCAACCTCTAGTTCTCCTTAAACTAGATGGCTGCGTGAGAATACATCATTGGTCCAGCGGTGGGTTTTCCACTTCCATGTGTGGCGAGTCGAAACAGTAGATTGCCCTATGGATCCACTGCCACCTTCTCAGAAGGCGTCCTTGGATCCTGGCGCCTACATCAATAGTCTCCGGCCTCACCGTACCGACCTGGTTCGGTGGCAGTGGGTCCTTAGGGTTGGGAAAATACCGCTGAAAGCTCTCGGGTTGCGCCACCTTGTCTCCTGACAACGTCCAGAACCTCCGTGGTGTAAAGCGCGAAGTGCCCGCATCAACCCGCAATCAACCTGGACCATCCAACGTGTGCCCACTGGAGGTCCCTATAAGGGGTGTAGTAGGGTAGTCCAGCCAGGACACCCAGACAGGATGGTCCTGGAGTGGACAAAGATTTGTTTGTAAGTTGGGTTCGTTTCTCTACCTACTGCGGACAAGTCCTGATAGACCAGAGCCATTTTGGGCACGACCGGTGCAAGATTGACCGGTGCAAGAGTGGCTGCCAGTGCGCCCATCAAGCTTCATGGAAATTCCACCCTCCAACTCCAAGACTGTCCTACCATTCATGGGGCTGGAATAGTATAAGAATGTATGTAATTAGTATGTATATAATGATGATATAAACTAAAGAATAGTTGTATACTAATTTGTACATAATTGTACTACTTATTTTCGCTAGGCAAAAAACTAGAGGCCATGTAAATACTTTTGAATATGGCTCATATATATTGCGGTTATACTTTCATAGGTTCATGGCCCCATCCATTGGACTCTGGAACTTCCACCTTCGCTCCTCGCCGCCCTCACCGCCACCAGGCGAGTGCGACGTCCATCTTGGCCGCAGCGGTGGGGAGACCGAGCCTGGGGTGCAAGCCTTGTTTACCTCACCTGGTTTAGAAGTCGAATGGTAGATAGTAGGCTTTGAAAACATCGGTGAAGACAAACATGTCAGGACATAAGCTGACACGTGGTTTTTTTTCAGGATGATCAGCTGTTCTGACCTTAGAAATACCCCAAAAGATTACAAGATAGCATTGGAAAAAGATTGCACTCCATACCAGGACCCCCCGGACCAGGGGCTTCTATTGATAGCCCCTTAGAAGTGATTCGGCCTGTCCATGAACCACCCCTATCCGGGTGCCTGTGGAATATGTGGAGAATATATGCCCCCAGGCCTGTGGAATATGTACACTGCCAGGCCAGCGGGTCTCCCCGCGTTTCCATCGGACGTTTCGGGACCCCCGAAGCAACGAGAGCTTCGTCTCGGTCCCGCAGACAGCGGTTCGTTCCGGCGCATTCGTCGCGTTCGTTCGATCCAGTGACATCACAAGTGGTTGGGGGGGCGAAAGATCCACTGTGTCTGGGACTGGGTTTTGGTGTTGTACAGTTCCATGTGTTTTGGGCCAAGAACCTCCAAACATAGATGGGTTGGTGAAGAAGGTTTCAACGTTCCTAGGCTAAGTTTCAGTGTGCCTTAGCCATAGATGTGTCCCTCTAGTACCCCCCAACCAGAATACCTCCGGTGAAAACGATGGACACCTGACCCAGTGCCGCCCGGTCTGCGCCGTCAGGCGCTGCGGAGCTCCGCGGGCCGGCGCATCTTTGGGATCCAGGACGAGCTGGGCCGACGCGTGACGCGACGGCTGACGCGTGACGCGGCGACGGAGGGATGAGAGAGAGAAGTGAAGAATGACGTAAAGCAGGTATCTCTACATGTGAGATTCTACATCAAGGCCATGAGAGAGTGGGAGAGAGAGTGGGTGTTGAAACGTGACCGTCGTTGGCAAAGCATTCTTGGATGGATGGAGCACAGGTATACGTCTTTCGCATCCTAGAAGAGGTTTCGAAGGAGAGGCGAATCCACCTTTGACGAAGAACAGGAGATCAGAAGGTCCCAGGTGCGTGAAGAATCAGTCTTTCAACCACAGAGGAATTGTCCCGTACGCTGTAAATACCACAGAAATAATACAGCTCAAATGCAGGGTTATACATGTACAGTCATTCTCACGGTGGTCCCTACTACATTTTGGCTCAAGGAGAAAAGAAGCCCGCGGAGCTCCCGCTAGGTTGTTTCGTTTGGGTTTCTTTGCCACTTAGCCTTAGGACCTGTTTTCATTGGGTTATCAGCCGTACTGGCTTTCCCCCTACATACTTTCCCTTTCCATATATTCACATTTTACCCTCGCCCGCGCGGTGCCATTTCTGAAGTCTTCAGCCGATCCTTTGGTATTTGAGTTTTCTCGATACGCTTGGTTGATCGCGTCGACGAGTGAATGCACACGAGGCGTCCGAGACCGAGGGGCGGCAAGAGTGCGAAGCGTCAGAAGCGTCGGAATCAATTCGCACAGGGCTTTAGCAATCAGTTGGAGAACATCTTGAGTACCGCGGACGCGACTCAAACTTCTTCTGATCTTGGAGCGGCGCCGCAGATTCATTCGTCATCTTCGAGTTCCGGGGTTGTTGCTGTGCCTAAGCCGAGCGCTAGTGCTAAGTATCAACCAGCGAAACCTTCTCAGAAAGTGGGTCCTTCTTCATCGGTGCGATTGGTTGATTTTCCCGACAGTGCCTTTGTTGAAGAGATTTCATCGGAAGAGGAGGTTTCAGTGAGCAAGGAGGTGATCGAAGCTGGTGGGACGGAGAGTGACTACATCTCAGTGAGGCGGCTGAGCGAAGTGTCACGTGGTGTTGATCAAGCAGTTTTCGACTTGCCGAGGTGGATTTCCGGAAGCGTGATTGTGAATAAAGTTGCATTTCGGGACGAGCAAGGCGAATTCTATCTTGATTCAGCGAGCGATTTGTTTGAGTCCTTGAAAGGTTGCGTGGTTCTTGACCTGTATAAGACGGTGATTTTTCCGGAGCGACTTTCATCGAGAGATTCAATCAGACTTGCAAAACACCGGGGCGAATTCCAGACGATCGAACGGGGGACGCTGTCGTTTATCTTTGAGCTTCAGAGGAACGGGTTCACTTTTTGCGCGTGTTCTTTCATCGGAAAGGCGGCAAGTGGTGAGTACATTGAGGCTTTGATTCAGAGCGAATTGGCAGCAGTCATTCCTGTGATCTTTGTTATTTACCATCGCGATCAGAAGGCCAGTCTTGCAAAAGAGCTCAGTGCGGTAGCTGCGATTGACGATCAGAGAGAGGTTGTTCGGCAGTACCGGGATTCTGGTATCTTTGCGATTGAAGTCAGGCGCGATTTTGGAATTGCAACTCACAAAGAGGAGATCATTCGGCAGTTGCGTGATCAAGCTGGTGGTCAAGTGGATCGTGAGGTGAAGCCAAAAGGAGTCC